ATGGCAAGCCCTATGGTAGTAAACAGGGACACAGGGCCTTGCCTCTGCTCTCAGAAAATGTACTCTTAGCAGTGCCGAAGACATCTGATATTTGTTTGTGTAGACCTCTCAGAGACTCACTGACAAATTTTAACTATATGGATTCCTTTTTTGTTCTCTCATTTTATTTTCATTTTTCTTGTTCATTAAATTTGAAGATGAACATTTAGAGAAAAATGATTTTTTAAATTAACAGACGGCACCAATTGTGGAGGTCTTAGTTCTTCTCTATCTTCCTTTCCAAGTGGCCAAACACAAATGAGAATTACAGACGCTGGTGAAAAGAATGATGTGGTGCAAGGTTGAATTTGTGACATGATAAAGCATTCCTTTTCTTTTTCCTTCTCTTTCTCCCTCATCCTTCCAAGAGAAGATGAGGATCCCTTATCCACATGCATGCTACATGCTATGGGCTGGTCTTCCCTTCATAGTTTACCAAGTGCAGAGGCCATGGTTTCATGGCTCCATCTGAACTTCCATCAACTCTGAAAGTGAAGTTTCAAAATAAACTGAAGCTGAAGAGGTTGGTCAGGCACAGGCACTTGGGGGGAAGGACCAGGGTTCACACATCCTTCCACAGCTCCTCAGTCTGAGCTTTGCCTTCTGTCTCTTATAGCCTCAGGCTCTCCACAGAGGAGTTGGAAATGAAGCTGAGTCTGGGGACAAGAAAGAAAAGTGAGGAGGACTCAGTGAACTTAGAACTGAACCAGCAACACATAGACTCATCCAATGAAATCTGCACATACGTCTCTGGGTCTTTGGGTACAGAGATATCATCACTGAAAACCTTTTCATTACTATTTTCTTTTATCTTAAGATGAATCTAGGGAATAACAGGAGTCATCTGTTTTGAAGAATTAAGTAATATAATTAAGTAATATAATTATATTAACTACCCACTCCCCTCAACACACACATCCCCAGTGAGAATTCTGAGAATTGTGCTTATTCTCATCTTGTTTACTTTCATAGTCTTGAGGATGTGTGACAGCTTATTCGCTCCTGTTTTACTTGTGTCATATAGAGGGCAGCTTGGGGCTAACATCATTTCCCATTCTAGAAGGAACCACTGTCTTTTATTAAGTAGTTCTCTGTTCCGAGTGTGGCAGTGTTTATCCCTCAAGTTCTCCTAGATGAGTCACTTCAATATCTACAGAAATGGCAACTAGCCTCATGCATTTTCTCTTCTTATGAGTCATTCTGGAAACAAAGACAATGTGTTGGTTGTAGATCTTGCCCAGGTTCACATCTTCAGTTTTCATTTATCAAAATGCTGTTTCCTCACATTTTTCTTGCAGAAATCTTACAAAACTTAAAAATAATTATTGAATGTTAAAGCTAGGAAGAACATTAGCAATCTCCCATCATAGCATTTTACATAAAGGATAAGAATAGAGAAATCCAACTAACTAGTGATAAAAATCTAGACTAGAGCCTAATTCTGCTTAGCAATTCAGTTCCGTATTCAAAATATCTCTGATACTCAGAAATTCCACAATGAAAGATTCACTAGAAATGGTAAGTGCTATGGCCACCCTAGAAAGTTCTAATCAAATAGAAGTACTGGGAGAGGAGTAATTCATGTTCAAATAGTGCTAACAACCCCTAAAAGATAAATGCATATATTTTCACAATATATCAGAAGAAAACATTCAAGTTATTTGAGAGTAAAACTAACATTCAAAGGACTAAAGTCAAACTGGGTCACCATCATAAAGAATAATCCACCAAAATGCTTCAGACATAAATTGTAAGAACTGATCTTAACTTGAGCTCAGGAACTAGGGAATCTCTTCTCTAAACAGCTGTGTGGTTCAAAGAATATGATATGTGTATGATGGGAAAGGTATGGAGTTGTGAGAAACAGAAAAATGTGAATGAAGAGGCAGAGACTCGGGAGCTCAGTTATTCACAAAACACAGGGATATTAATTTGCATTTATCGCCTTGGAGGCAGATAGAGTTGGACACTCGTGGACATAGTGTTTGAATTAAAAACACAGAGAGATAAGAATTGATGTTTTAGAATGGCTTGTTTGAGCAGTTATGGGATGACAGAGGGGACACTTCTATACATTCAAATTCCAATGAGCAAATTCTGAAACAAATGAGCTCTGAGATTCCATTAAAAAATTTTTTTAATGCTGGAAAGAGGTAGCACTTAATTTCTACAAGATCTTACTCATATGGACTATCTTAAATTGCTTAACTGATGTCAGGCAAATGACTAGGGTGTGCACACACATTGGGCATGGGGGAGCACAATAGCATGTAGGTGTTCTGCGAACAGAACCCTCTCATTTCCCACATCTCTCCTTTTGCAGGTGTTTTTCTTTTTAGTGAGAAGTACTTCAATTTTGTACCCTTGTAAAAGTAGAAAATCCTTGGAACTGTGTTGCTGAACCCATATTTTACATGTTTTAGTTAAACAAGTACACCCATTGGAGCAGGCAAATAAGGTAAAATTAAGTCTTACTAATCAATGCCACTTTACAAAGTTGGTTCTGATTGACCACTTTTCTCTGAGAGGATGGTGACAGAATGATCTGAAGCATGATTGGTAGTGTGATTGGTGTTACTGTGTTCCCTTCTAAACTCGTGGTATAGGAAGTATAAGATAACATGGGGTCAGTCCAATGAAATGTACTAAACTTCAATCAGATTCCAGTGTTTATTCATTTAATAATTTATCTCTAGCTTGAAGAACAATAACTATCATTCATCATCACTATCACCATCATCCACAGCAAAAAAAAAAAACACTCATGGATCATCAAAAATGAATATGCTTGGTACTTCTCACTGGTCAGAGGGCAGGCTTGAGACCAGCACTCCCCACACTTCAAGTTAGACTTCTGGACCCATTATGTAGAAGCATTGATGGGGAGAGATTTAACTACAGGAGCTGCAGAGGCATTACATGTTCACATGACTAGAAGACAGCAAATAGTCTGGGATTCCACAGGAGTGTTTGGCTAGAGTGGTTAGGAATTTTGCATCCCTCACAATCCCCTCTACATACATTAGAGACTAAGATGGGATAGAAATATGCCTATTCTAAATGATGATTCTCCCAAGGGACAACCTAATGTGAGGGGTAGTGGAGGAATCCTAAATTATGGCAGTCATTTATTTCTGAGTCATCAGGAGTTCAGTACACTTGACATCCAGGCTGGTCTGTAGCAATTGTCTTCTGCTGGTGCTTGTACCAAGAAAAAATCACCCAGGCTCTATTCAGTATGTTTTTCTTTACTTATTCTAATGAACACTTTCTTGTCAAGCACCTGTTTCCAGAAGAGGTAGGCCTGAGAATTATCTGCATAAGCTCCTATCAAAGCCATGTCCTCCTGGGTGGAATTCTAATTCTGGTTGAAGGCCTGGGAGGGAGAAGACTCCTTCCTGTGGGTACCTACGTGTTCCCTTTAAAGGCTGAAACTAAGCAGAAGAAGAGAGGAAACTCCTCTTGAGGCAGTAGGGAGGTCTGCTTGCTGGCCACTCATCACCTGGTTCCAAAAAGAACATGCTCTTGTATAACCAGAGTTTCCAAGGAATCACAAGGTAAGGGGAAGGTTGAGCTGGCAAATAATGTAAAATGAAGTCTTACTCATCAATACCACTTTACAATGTTGGTTCTAATTGACCACTTACCCGAGAGGACGGTGACAGAATGATCTGAAGCATGATTGGTAGTAGCAGATATTACCAATGTCTACTAGTAGTAACGTAGAAGATATTAGTAGATACCCACTAGTGTATATTAATAGTTATGTACTAGTAGATATTAGAAGTAGTCCATCTGAAAGAAAAAGCTCCCATTCAAACAAAGGTGGTGTGCACTGTGTTTTCTTTTCCCAGCAAACCTTGGAAGTGTCTCTTTGTAGGTGCCTCAGCACATTTTATTCAGAGGTGCTTCTGGGCTCCAGTTTAGGAATATGGAAGTCACTGGTATTTTACCCACTCTATTCCAGTGAGCCATGATCCACACCCTGATGTTCCAGTCAGTGTCTGCAAGGTTGCTGGGTACAGAAGAGCTAGTAAACCTCACCCACTCACTTTCATTCTAAGAAGACTCAAAGTCTCTCACCTTTAGCAGCCCTGGGACATGGTAGAAATGACACCAATGTAGCCATAATCCATGAGTTAGTTTGACAGTTCCAGACCCTGCTACCTGGAAGAAGCTGAGGTATTTGGGACCTGGGAAGGGAGATGTGGGAGAGCAGATGGGCACAAAGAAAGACGACCTCAACAATCTTTCCTCAGTTCTGCTGGCAGCAGCTAGAAATGACACATCTTCTTTCCAAGCCTTCTTGCTTCCTCTCAGGTAGAACTGACCCTGAAGATCAAGGACAGTAATTCCTGAGTGTTTCAGCTCTGACCTCATTTCTGTCTCTCACTGAATCTTCAGTCAATTATTTAATTCCCGGAATCAATCAGAAAAGTTTAGAATTGCCTGAATATTATTTTGTATTAAATTCTACCTTTTCTTTGTGTGGCTAGATATGAGGTTTTGGGGGCAAGTGTGGAGGAAGAGAGATTTGGGATTGTTTAATACCAACCACAATGTTTCAAGCTGTTTTTATTTTGGGGGAGATATTTTGTTTTATGATATTCTAGTGATAGCTACCCTCTGCTATTCAGAAATAATTATACCTAAAAGCCTTCTCCCTATCTGGACTTGACATTTGCCCAGATTGTGAGGTGAGGTGTTTGCATATAAGCAGAATGCTGGAAGCCTTGGCCAGGGCCTCCTGAAGGCCTTGACGATGCAGTCTCCAGAAGATCCGCCTCTCGCCTTGCTTCTGTGAGGGAAAGGGAAGGGCTCTCACGTCCCTCCTGTTTGTCCTCATAGCACTTGCTACAGAAAGATCCTCCCCCTCCCTGTTCTTTAAGCCTGAGCCAAGCAGGCTCTGCCCCCTCCCCTCCCCTCGCCCCCACCACTGTAGAATGAGGTACCACACCAGGTGAAGAGGGACATGGAACACTTTTTAATGTCAAGTCAGAGACAACCCCTCCCTCCCCAGTCCCCCAATCCCACTTTCCCTCATCACATCCAGGACTCCTCCCTAAAGACTCTCTGGTTCCTAGACTTTTGGGGAGGAAAAAAATGTTACCTAAAAATTGCATTTTCTTCTCGTTCATACACACTCACACAAAGGTGGGAAATTAAATAAAATAAACCAAGAGGATTAAACTCTCCAGTGGTCACAAAGGCATCAGAGATTCCCATAATGGGCTAAAGCAAGTGGTTACTGACGGTTTCGTGTGTTCAGTTGCTTGCTGTCTGTTAATGCCAGGAGGCATGATGGAGAAGATGGCCCCCGGGGCAGCCTCCCCGCAGAGAGCCACATCTGGAAAGATGATGCTGCGCCTGGTATTAGTTATTTGTTTTTTTTGTTTTTCTTTTCACTTTTTATAAATGTCTCTGACATGTAAATAACCCAAGAAAATAAAAAGGCAGGAGCTGATTACACAATTACCAGTAAACTCTATCATCTTTTAGAAGATCAACACACAGCTAACGCCATATACAGCATGCAGTAATGTCTGAGAAAGGACCCTGCGGAGAAATAAAATGGCTAGAACTCTAACAAAAAAAATATATGTATATATATACTGTATAATATATGTCATCAAAAGAAGCATAGCCAACAAACCCAAGATACAGTGCAGATAGATCACCTTTCCATTTCTAAACAGTGTGTAGATAGCATAGTATTGTCTGCATGAGATGCCAGAATAAGGAGGAATCTGTAGCGCTGGTGGAGATATTGGTTAAACCAGATGTATTTTTTTGGTGGATATGCCAAATCTTCACCAGGTGGTTAATGCCCGGTGTGTGGTCCACCAGTTGTAAACCTAGTTAAGAAGTACACTATTAATTTTTAATGTTTAACAAACATACTTCTCTTCACCTTTTTCAATTGTCGTATATTTAGTTTTGTCTCATTTTTGCACTAGGTTCTAGACTCATCAGAAAATATAATTAATAAAATTAATAATGAATCAGAATCCCTTATTATCCATGACGTCCATGTAGTAAAATGAAAAAAAAAGTTTAACGATATCTTTTGTGACTGTTGTTTGTGGGATTGTTGTTGCTGTTGGGCTGTCTTGTTTTGTTTCCCTTTTCTTTCTTTCTTTGTCTTTTAATTTCACATTTATAACACACACAATGGTGGCACAGTCTACCAAAGGGCCCGTGGCGCCACGTCTGGGCCTGAATGTCTCACTCTGTGTTTGTCTCTATGGACGGATTGAATTTGGGATGGCCGACTCCAGAATGTTCCATGGGGGGCACTCCGTGGGCAGAGGGGCTGAGCCGTTGCCCACACTGGCAGCAGAGAGGTCACACGATGCAGCTTGTGGGTGGGTCCAAGCCGGGTGTGTGTTCTTCCCGTTTGGGAAAAGAAAGAAAACTCAGTTGTACCTAAATATCTGCAAGGCAATTTTCAATTTCCTTTTTTAAACTTTTTTTTTCCCCAAAGTATTCTTTGTTCCCCTCCCTCAAATTTCTGTCCCATTAGGCTTTGTTTCTCCAAATTTTGTTTGAATATATTGTGTTTGTTGCTGTCGGTGTTGCCGTTGCTGCTGTGTTGGTGGTTGCGGTGGCGGCAGCCTTTCCCCGGTGGGGAAGTGGCACTCACATCAAAATTTGAGGAGTAGGTGCAAGATCAGAAGAGGTAGCAGCCAGATGCAGCCTGCCCTCCTCCAAGAGCCGTTGCTCACTTCGCTGACGGCACCCGGGCCTGTGGAGAGAGCACACTCGTCATGAATGCCTGGTATCAAATAGAGGAAAACCCTATGGGTTGCCAGCGCTGCCATCACTAGGCCTTGCCCCTGGCTCCCTGTCCCTGGTGAGGCATCCCTCCAGTTCCATCATCAGAAATGAACTCTCTAGAGCTTGGATTCCCTGGACGTTCAAGCCATATAATGGGAAACCTTCCCTTGCAAGGAGAGAGCATGAGGCTCAGGTTGATGTGTCCTGGGCATTCTTCCTTTACTGTGCCATGACATGCTAAGCCCATGGCTCAGGGTCAAACTTAAGAAGAAGGTGGCAGATTCATCAATATCTTTCATAGAGCTTTAATCAAGTAAGACCACTGTGTTGTCTGCATCATCATTCAACCGCTTCTGAGCACTGACTGCCTTAAACACTTACTCACCCTCCAGCTGCTCAGCCTGTTGTTCAGGAAAGAACCTGTTGGACACAACAATCTGTCTGCCTGCTGCTGTCGCCTCGGGCACAGAGGCCACTCTGCCAATCACTCTATCTCAGGGCAGGGCACTGGGGTTCCACCTGGAGCAGGCGACCTCTTCCCCATCTGGAGGGGGTAACAGCAAACACAGCTGAAGTATCACGTGCCTGAAAGGCCACAACCAACCCACATAGATGGAAGTGGGAGCAAGTGAAGAAAGAGGAGGCCTTGGCTGTGTACATGGAGAGTCATGTGGATGTTGGGATGCCATATCTGCCCCAGCATATGCCCACTGTGGGGAGATGGGGCAACTTTCCCTACGAGGCACACACTGACTTGGCCTGCAGACACTTAGAGATGGAGACAAACAGGAGGCCAGAGAACTACAAGGTCATAAAATTCCCCAGCAGCTTCCCCATTGTTCTGAAACCTGCACTTTCTGGCTATCTTGACCCTTGTGGCCAAGAACCCCATAACAAATGAAGCTCTGATTCCCGAATATTATGTAAGTTTGGAGGCCCAAATGAATTTGGTACCTAATGAGCTGCATTAGCATTTGTGGAGGTAGAGCCGGTAGCCTTGTCCATGTCCTCATGGGGTAGGGGATAAGGTATAAAGCCAGAACCTGCTTGCCTGACTTGGATGCTCAGCATTGGAGATGCATCTGGCTAAAGCAGATCAGAATCAAACCAGGCTTCCTGATGCCATATGGAACTATTCCATCAAGTCCTAGAACTCCTGGCCTATAGGCACTGCCCATAAGCTTTAATTTCTTAACCTTTTCAGATAAATCTCTGATTTGGGACCAGTGGCTAAACAGATAGCCACAAGTTTGAAAGGCAATACGTCCTCCAACCCCATGTTTCTCTGGAGTCTGGTTTGCAATATTCCCAAGGCCAGAATTTCTTAGCAGTGCAGGTCCCCATATCAAGAAGCCTCAGGGAGACCTAATTTGCTCTCTACCTTGCAGAAAGGCAACTGCTAGGCAACACAAAACCAAAGTCATCTCCAGTGGAATACGGGTGACCAAGGGGCATTCCTGTAAAGCTCCCAAGGATTTACATTTTAATGGTAGATATGTTTGTCATTTAGGGTTGCTCACTAATTTTGTCTTCTAGATCCAACCACTATGTATCTACATAAGCCACCCCAGACACTCCGTCTGTATATCTGCTCACTCTTGTTATCCACACGGCACATTCCTTGAAATCAAAAAAGAGTAGCCACCGCCTTCAGCCTTCAAGAGTGAGAGGTTGTGTTTCGCTCCTTTAAGGAAGTCCTTAAAGGACTTTGGGTCACTCCAAGATCCTTCCCATCAAGACCCTTCCTGTGCCTGAGGCTGAGGACTCTGATAGCAAATGCTGGTTCTGAGCTCATCTTGCCCTGCAGGCCTTTGTGGGAGCCAGGTCCTGTTTTGCCTGGGACAGTGGTGACATTCCATATTCACACATGTTCGTTGCACAGTGTGATTCCACACGTCCTACATGCTGGCACATGGTACTCCTGGCAGGCCATGCCGCTGTCAGCACATGGCTCTCTGTAGCTTTCATCTCCTGTTGTCTTGAACACTCACACCCATACAACTTTGAAACATAGTTCCCATTCAGTCTCAGCCTCAGCCACACATCCCCCTCCCCCTCCCTCCTTTCTGCCTGTGGCTAAGAAGATGCCCTGGGGTAAAAGAGAAGGGAAACAAGTGCTGCTTCCTGCATAGAAGTGTCCTCTCCTTCCCCACTGTGTACCTCCTTTCAGGACAGACCAGCCAGTAAAGTCTCCGGGGAGGAGAATGCCACAGCTAGGTGTGTTCAGCCCAGCAGGGGTCTAGCTTGGTTACTGTGTAAGAAAAGGCTGAAAACCTTGTTTCCAAGCTGGGGACTTTGCAGCTCAGGAGGCGGCTGAAAGCTGGCAAACACCCCCTGCGGCATATCACAATGGTCTGGCGGTTGTGCCAGGTACTCTCCCTGGATGCCTGTGCTCCTTCTCATAGCTACACCCCTCAGAGTTCTTTTGTGGCCCTGCTCCCTGCTGGGAAGCACCACAGAGAGCTTGTAGGGATGGTTTAACCTGTTGTGTTTTCTGAAACTCTTCCTACTAAAGACAGAAAAAGGCCACCAAGTGCCTGCCAGTCATGCCCTTTCTTGCAGTGTATCCAGGAAAAGCCCGAAGGGGTATTGCTGCACTCTGCCTCCCACTCAAGCAAAAGGGGCTAGAACTGACAGTGCGTGCCCACATCCAGTTTGCCCATCACTCCCAATCTCACACGCATTTGCTGACCTCCCCAGGACCCTGTCTGTCTCTTTAACACATCCAGGAAAACTGACCTGGACCAAGCTGGACAGAAGGAAAAGAAAACTGGGGTAACCCCTGAGGCAGGGTAAGCACACATCCTTTCAAAGCAGACAGCCTGCATCATCTCACTTTTTAGTTTCCAAAAAAGTTTGCACTTGGGCCTTGCCGCCTGCAGCCTTGACCCCTTGAATTTATTCTTTATCCTAATTCCAGGATAATGTTTCCACAGCTACTAATCTCTCTGAGAACAACAGGCTTTACAAAAGCTCTCAACTTCTTGGCAGGACATGCACTACACTTCATGATGAACCTGCTATCTACATCCTTAGCCCCTCTTCTTGACATGCCCATTTCCGAGTTCCCACCCCATGCTACACAGGCCCAAGTGTGCACACATGGGTGGGTCTTTCTTTCCCACCTGTACATACTCTCCCCTCTGCGTGGACTGATCTCTGTCCAACTCACTCTCAGTTTCTGTTCCAGCTTCTACTCTGGCCTTCATTCATCTCTTCCAGGCAGCCTTCTCTGTTTGCTTGCTCAGCATCATACTATACTGCTATTAAAATACTTACCACTATGGATTATAATTCTCTTTATTTGCCTAACTTATATGTTTTCTTCCTCTATGCTGGAAGCTCCCTAAGGGCAGAGTCTGTGTCTCATTGGCCCATGGTAGGTATTCAATTGGTGCTGCTGAAGGAAGGGGGAAGGGCCTGTAACTCATGCTCACATGTCCATATTTACTTTGTCTTTTTCTTTTGCTCAAGGTTATACTCAGAGCAAAAACAAACAAACAATAATAAACCAAAACAAACAAGTCTTTCCCTTCTTTGCCTTCTGCTTCACTTTGATTTCCTCTTCCAAATACCCATTTTCTTACCATATTCAATTAAAGTCCCTGACAATTCCTGTGACTGAGTGAATGTCTGTCTACACAGAAGCAGTGCCATGCTGAGTAGGATTTCAGATCGTATGCTTGCCGTTGGAAGGTATCACAGCACCTTAATGGCACTCATGGAGGAGATGGGAATTATTTTCTTCCTTTCTAATATGTGGAAACTTAACTTCATAGAGCTTAAGTGACTCTCCCATGGTCCCTTGACTTCTGTCTTCAAATGCAATTTCTTCCCACTGTCTCAAAGAAGCATCTTCTAAGAATGAAGAGAAGAGAGTGCAGCCTCAGGCCTGCTCCACCTGGGCACCCACAGGCATGCAGCCGGCCTGCTGCCCATGGGCCACATACCAATGAACGTTATATGTAAGAGTGTTGCTGAACGAGAACTCTGGGTCCAGCGGGGCGTGGACCACAGCCTCCTGGGAGCAAAGCCCTTTTGGAGTCAGTATTGGCCAGAGTGGCAGCTCAGACCATCTGCGTGGTGACATGGGGCACACAGATGAGGCCTCAGTTCTTCATTCAGCCACGCCTCCACTCCACACTGAATGCCTTTATTGCCTCCATCTCATTAAAGAGCTGCAAGGCCTAAAGAGACTAATTACCAGGACAGTTAGGGTCCCAGAGAACTGTGATGAGTGTCAATTATCCATTGGAAACATCTGGCAGGAATGAAAGCTTCAAATAAGCCACATTTTATTCCTATCCAAGTGACTCACCCAAGAGCCTCCCACTTCCCCCTCCCTCCCGCCACTTCCCTTCCTGCTCCACGTTAGAGAGAGAGAAAGAAAGAATTGGGCAAGCAAAAGGCAGCATGCAGGGCCAAGGTTTAAGAAGATCATTGCATTAGAGCACCGTGTGCAAGGAAAGAGACAGGCCTGGCACAGAGGAGCCCAGAGATGGAGCTATTCTGGGCACTAACAGGTGCTCATTAGTGCCGCCAGCAAAGAGAAGTTAGACTTCTGCAAGTGGAAGCTACCAGTGGGGATTGGATGTCCTTGGGGATGGGGTTAATCTAAACTGACACAGAGACGACTCAAGGTCAGGGGCGGGTTCCCTGTGGGCTGCTTTCTGGGGTTAGTTGAGAAAAGAAGGCATCTTGGAGAAGGTGAAGAGTTTTCATAACCCAACCCCACCAAAGCAGCAGTTGTCTGAAAAATAAATATACCAACCTTTCCAAGGGGTCAGGGCTGTAGTTTTCACTTCTAAAAGAAATTAAAAACAAGCCACTGTTAACGTAGCAAGCAGTTGGAGGCACTCATCTTGCCCTCAGATGATTTTAGGAAGGAGCCTGGCCCCTTGCACTTGTCTTTTGGTGTCCTGACACAGCCCAGCCCTTCTACGTGGCCTCTGCTAGTTTTCTGGGGCAGCCAATCGTCACAAGAGGTGAGCTGGGGGGCTAAAGAAGGATCTAAAAGACAGTCAGATTAGACTACAGACTAAAGTAGAGCCAAATAGCCATGTGGTCTTATTGGGAGATGCAGCTGTCCTTTAGAGATTGAGGTACCATACCAAGACTTCTTTGTAGAGCAACTTTCTTTCTTTGGTCGTCACACTATCCCCTAAGTATTTGAAGTCTGTAGACCTTAAGTATAAGATTGACTGCTACATAAGGACTTACCCTATAACAGCTAGGATGTAGGTGCTCATGCCATGTTTGAGATGTAAATGTTTGACTACACATTCTAGAAACACTGGTGGCTAGCTTCCATGTGCCAGAGAAGCCCAGATCTTTAGTACTTGACTTCTTTTGATGAGTTGGACAATGATCAAGCTGGCCCCATCTCATCTCTCTGGGTCAATCTGAGGCTATAAGACTCACACCTGTGCTGCTAGGAAATCCCTGTAGAAATGCTGGGATGACAGACCCTCTCTGCTGTTTAGTTCCTATTTCACTAGCTTCAAGATATCAGAACAACACCTAGTCTCTCTACCTATTCTGTTGATAGTAGATGTCTTGCATGGCCTGCATTTGGGATAATCTATAATCTTTTATTTTCTTTTTTGTTGTTCACCTTGAATAGAGAAAGTTTGGAAAATGGCATTAAAGTCTTTTACATCAAAGTGGTAGCTTGGTAGTCTATGTTCTCCATGCAAAGGTCCTCACGTATAGAAAGAAGGACAACCTAGATACTACTCATCCTAAACACACCTAAAACATTTGCTCAAAGTCAACTGATCACACACCTAGGCATTCAAGTTCAATCTATTCTTTAAAAGCATCTGACATATGACATCCCTCTTGATTTAAGTTGACATGAGCAACTCTGAGAAGCCACCCTGAACATACAAAGAGATAAGAGTTGATCTATGATCAAATGCTTTGTGATTGAAGGAAGATCTGATGTAAAGTCAGGATGGAGGAGAAAAGCCAGGAGTGATGCACCATGCTGCGTATGCATTTAGCAAGGACAGCCTCTTGGATTGTTTGCTAGGCCCCAGAAACCAGCCCAGAAGTGAAGGAGACACTATTTTAATATATTGTCTTTTCTAGGCATCACTGACTTCTGAGTCTCTCTGTGCCAAAAAAAAGATGAATGGAAGGAAGGAAAGAAGGAAGGAAGGAAAGAAGGAAAGAAAAGAAAAGGAAAGAAAGAAAAAGAGAGAGATAATTGGAAGGACAGTCTGAAGACAGACTTGCAGAGAAAAAGCTTTGGTCCCCGAACCACAGGCAGTGCAAATGTAGGGCTTGTCTGGGAAAGGGTTGTCCACTGTGTGGTAGGACGCTGGTTCAGACTGAGTTGGAGGAAGGACCCAGGGAAGGGTTCCTTTTGGCAGTTGGGGCTATCAGAAAGAGGTGAACACTGAAAGCACAATTTCTTGCTCTAAATACCAGAAGAGATTTTCTACAAGGCAAAGATCTGAAAAAAACTTCAGCTTAACTGTTCCCATCCAGATCTTTTTTTTCTCGGAATCTCTAACACACACTACTTGAAATAAGGACAACTCTCTTTAGTGTCCACATAATTAAAGGACGATATAATGCTCATCATTGACTTTAGCTAGAACTTATCCTTGGGCTTTTCTAGGCAGCAATGTTTCAACCCTTCTAGTTAATTGGAGTATCCTTCTGACTCCACTTGTATTCCACCACAATGATGGGGAAGTGCCAAGATATTCTTTATATATACTCTAAACCCAGCAACCTGCTGTCCCCTTTGCTTTGGTAATAAGAAGAGATGTGGACGTGCTGACAAAGTCCTCTATGTCATGCTTGACATGCCATCTTCCAGAAATATGAGCTTTGCTTGAGACTCCAAAGCTGCTGCTGACCACAAGCTCAAGCTTTTAAGTGACATCTTGGCTATTAAGAAAACAAACAATCCCTGAAAGTCCAATTGCATATTTTCCTTACCAAGACCTTGACCAAAATTTAATTGATCTCTTTCTTAATAATATATCAACAGGAGGCCAGGCAGAGTTGGAAAGAAATGCTCATAAGAAAGAAAAAGGAAGGAAGGAAGGAAGGAAGGAAGGAAGGAAGGAAGGAAGGAAGGAAGGAAGAGCAGGGGGCAGAGAAAAAAGAAATAAAGGGAGGAAAGGAGGAAGGGAAAAAAGAAAGAACAAAATGAAAATAAAAAAGTCCCCTCTAAGTCTCCAAGTCACCACTCAATGTCTCTGCTCAATCTATAAATTAATCTTTTTGCAGCGAAACCAATACTTAGCTGAGTTCAAGTGGCCAGGTAAGCACACAGCTCCTGTCTGATTCTAGTGGGCAGAGGAGAGCTGCTTTCATGTGAAGATGGATATTCAAACCTTCTAGAAAGAAGGTAAGGATTTTTTAGGAGGGAGGGGCATCTTATGTTATTTAGACACACACATGACATGGAAATGTTTATTACGGGATGCCTTGACCTAATTAATTATCCTTAATCCTCTGCAGGTAAGAATTGATCCTCTCTTTTGCTGCAATTGTTTCTAATATACAAAGCTTGCTTTGGTCCTCCATTCTTTAATAAATTAGTTTGATGGTCACTGAGAGGTTCACAGGAATTAATCAACCAACTTTTCCCAGCCCACTGATACCATCATATCTGACTTAAAGCCTAGGAGATAAAAGACGAAGGGCCAGTGGGTGGAAAATGAACAGTCGTGGAGCCGCTGAGCTTGCATTGTGGCTCTGGCACAGTTGCCTGTGTGGAAGTTCTGTGAGGGATGGTGGCACATCTCTGAGTCCTTATTTATCACCGTGGGCGTCCTACACTACCAAATATTAATACGAGAGGGTGACATGCAATCTGTTGTGTTTGCAAAAGGGAAGCAGAGAAATACTTCAATGGTGGCAGAAAATGCTGAGGAAGAATGAAATTCTCTTATCAAAATCCTTCTAGTTCATCCAAATATAGGGGAGCAAAATAGCTTTGAACTTCTCTTAAAGCCAAGTATACCCTGTCAATTGAAGTCCATGCATTCATAGAAATCTTTCTTGGTCACTGAGCCAGTCCTGACCACTTAGATCTTCCGGTATTTCTGAGATAAGACAGGCATAACTTAGGGGTGTTTCCTGAGAAAATAGGCCACTCTGTATTGTGTTGAAGACCAGCAAAGGTGGTGAAAAAAATGAACCCAGATGAATGAGGTAAATGTGCCCCGGTGCAAAGGCTGTTTTCTCTAACGTATTTCTAATAGTACCAGAGTCCAGCAGTTATACCAATGACCATACTAATTCAACTGTTGGAATGTTCCTTTCAGATGTCTACAATTTACAACGTCTGCCTGGACCCTTCCCCTATACCCAAGAAGATTGCTGAGATGAAGGGTTGACCACAACCTGCACAGAGAATCTTGTATCCAGACTTGTCAGTTCACAAATAAGAGAAGTGAGGTAGCCTAGCTTTTTCTTGGCAGATGGAGCCTCACAGTAATATCTCCTGCTCCTAGTCCCATACTCGAACAAAAGTAATTTGTTTGTTTATTTCCGACTAGTTTTATCGTTGCTGGCTTTGATGTGGGGTGATGTTCTATTAGCCAAGTACACCTTCAGTTAAATACTAGCTTGTTAAAAACCACTACCTGAGCTTTAAAAGCTACTACTTCCTCTGAGAATGAAGATCTAAGTGGTCAGGACTGGCTCAGTGACTTCTGGAAGCACATCCACAGCATCATCTGTCTTAGTTCCAGTCTCTCCCACTTCCTTCTACCATTTATATTAGCTACTTTTCTACTGCTCTCTGTTTTAGATCTGTGACTGTGCCTCGCATGGGGGTTCAATAAACATAAGTTGAGTCATAAGTTGAATGTGAATACGTCCACTGCCTTCACATTTCCTTTTTATTTCTTTGTTTCATTTTCCTGTTTGTGGCTCATCACCACGGTACTATACATCACTAAGGTGAATAATGCAGTCCTGACTCTTTTCATGATAAAAGTACTTTTCCTTATCTGTCAGGCAGCTTCTCATGTAATTCATTTCTTTCTATCCCCTCCACCTCCCAAGGCTACTGAGTTCTCCCATGACTGGTTGCACAGTCAGAAAGTGAGTGGATGAAGAGGGTGTGTGTAGGATGAGGTGGGGAGAGGGTGGTCAGGAGACTGGGGTGGAAGGTGGGAGTGGCATTCCCCTCACTTTCCCCTCACTGTCTTCACAGCTGCCTTCCTGCTGGGCAAGTGCCATGGTCAACTCCATCCTTAGGAGGGGGAAAGCAGTGCATAGGGTACCAGCCCTAGTCCACCACATGCCCGAATGGTTAGTCATGGTCCTAATGAGTCACTACTCTAGGCTAGGGGACTTCAGGAACATCAAAAGGGTGGTGCAAAGAGAGGCGAGAGATGCAGGAATCACCTGAGGGGAAGGGCTTGAACTGGAAGAAGTAAAGCAGCTAGGGAGAGGGGGGTGAGAGATGAGTTAATGAACCCTGTGACATTACATGGAGGAAGGCCTTGTCTTTCAGTTTGCATCTGGAGATTCAAAATGCATCTCACAGTTTTCAAAGTCTTTTGACTATGCATTCTCACCTGACTATTGGAACAACTCTGTAAGGTAGAGAAGGCAGATCAATTGCATTATAGAGAAGAGAAAGTTGAGTCTAAATAAGGCTTAGTGACTTGCCCAAGAACAGAGACTTACGAAACACCAGGCTCTACGCGAGACCTCAGTGGCACCCCTTTAAGTCATTGCTTTTTGGCAGCCATGAGTGCTGCACCATGCCTACCTTCCTCCCTCAGAGAACTGTATATTATGGTGTTTGATTCTGTGGCTGAGGGGCAATCATAGAATTCCTGTTATGAAAACTGCTCAGCTGGTTGGAGTTGTCTTCCTCTGGGTCCAGACTCACTCAATCGTTTGCCTTCATGTTGATATCTGGGCTTTGAGTTTTCGATAAAGCCTTATTTCCCTTCCCCCTCCCAACTCTCCTGGGGAAGTATGGACAAGGAATGAGCACAGAAGAGGGGGCGAGACTTGAGTTTCCCCAGCTCCCGGACACCTCCTTAAATAGCCTTCCACCGCCATCCTGTAAGTTGCTTTACAGATAGAAGCCTCAGGTAATACACACAAGGGGAAGGGTGCAGGAAAGGGGGGCTCTGGGATAGAGGAAAGGGGAAAGAAAACATAAAGCAAGGAGGATACTGACCTTGCAACAAAGTTGAGCTTGTAGGCTCATTTAGTTCTAGATCGGGTGAGGGACACACAGGAGAGAAAAATGAGAACAAACACATATATTATATACAGTAGCTATATATTTGTCATATATAGTTTGTATACTGCCTTACACAAATATTTCAGGGGGAATGTATAAATAAAGGAACACACAGAAACCAAAGGTGGCAGGACAAGGTGCAGCAGGGGAAACACTGACATACTTTATGTTTCTATATTGAATGCAATGGTTGGGAAGTGAGGATGCTGCTCACACCATACATTTTCCAGTAAAGATAGATTTGCTCTTAGCTTGTGCTGAGCTGGGCTACTGATTTGATAACAAAAGGCCAAAGCCTCTTTCCAGCTGACACCTCACTCTCACATCCCCATCTCTCTTGTTTCACCTTGGGAGATCAAGTTCAGGATTTTCCGATTCCACTGTATCATGTTAGAAGCAGGGTCCCCCAAAACCACTGTAATTCAGGAATATGGGAACAAAACTCTCAGAGCCCACTGCAAGCTCTGCAGTATCAGAAACCAGGTGCTTAGAGCTCTGTTGCTTTGTGATGGGAAGAACCAACTTGCCCCTGTTTGGCTTAAGTGCCTTCAAAGATACTGACCACCACTAAAGTCTCTTTCACTACAATTCTTCACTTCAAAATGTCTAGGTCATATAGAGAGAGTGTGAAGTTTATGTACAAGTTGTAAGCAAAATGAAAATGATGATAATTTTGCTGGTTTCCTGGAATGCCACAGGAGAATGAACTTCATTGTGAAGTTTGTATATTCACACCAAGTAAATGCTTCCTTCCAAACTGCCCAAGTCTACTTCATGGTTTGTAGTGGAAACTGACATGAAAAATGCCCTAATAAATTCATATTTGTCAAAAGATCTCATTGATGGTGCACCTCAATAATACATTCAGGAGCCACAATAATGACTGAACTAGGCTTAGTTAGAACCAATGAGCTGGAAATAGCCATCTCACACATTCATGGGCTTTCACTAACTCCATGTAGCTATGGTACTCAGGCAGCATTTCTTATGGTGGGTTCCTCAGGAATGATCTCTCAACTAAGGCTAGAAAATTTTGTTGGCTTTTAATTGACTTAATTTGGAAAATGCTGTAAGCTTTTTCTCACTCCTAGAGATTTAGCATGTTAAGGCTCTTAGACCCCCGGTATTAAAGAACATCCCCATAGCATATCCCATTCATCTTGGCTTGACCCAGGCTTTTTAAACTATTAAAATACATACTATCACTTTTTCTTTGCACTTTGTAGAAAATCCAAGACTCCAGAGAGTTGGCAATGTTAGGAACATTCCAAAGGAAGCCCAGAGTAAATGCTGACAGACATGGGTAGGGGAAGTATGAGATTTAATTGCCACACATGGGCCTGAAGAAAAAAGCATGTTTTGTTATGGCCTATGCTTCATTGCTCTCCTTGTCATAAATGCCATCCACCTTACTCTTATAGAGAAAAGCTTGCCATTTCTCCCTATTCTCATCTTGAGACGGCTTAAGGGGAAGGAGCTGGGGATCAGACAATAGTAACAAAGCCAATGACAAAACCATTTCATGCAGCCAAATCAGAAGATAGATGAGGTTAAAAAAAGAGGAAGACCACTGAGGAGAGTGAGGACTGTGGGGGTGGAGAGCAGGGCTTGGGAGGGGTAGCTGGGAAAGTCAGGAGGAGTCTCAGATTTGCAAGGCAGGGGAAGGAGGGGTCTGTTCCTTCTTAATCCTGGCCCTCTGTTCATGCAGACAGACGCCTGCCAAAAAGCCAAAAAGGCCTGACAAATGTGAGGGGCACTTATGATCATCCCTATGTGAAAGATACCAGACAGATCAATCACTTTAATCATAGCTCTGCCCATTCTGAGCTACCGGCTCCAAGATCAAGGGCAGTCTTCCCCTGCCCAGTCTTCTCACGCAAAGTTGGGCTTTATTTTAGGTGCTAGGTAGAAGATGTAGAAGAAGGGATTTGGAAACAGAGATGGCATAGTGAAGCAGCACGGACTCGCAGATGCATGATTCTGAACAAGGTGAATACACTGCCACCAAGGGGCTGTGAAAAGGTCAGGGAGAGGGTGGGGGAGAGGGTGGGGCCCCGAGGCTGTGGGATTATCCAGAGTTCTCAGAATTTAAAAAAAATGTAATTTATCTGGTGATTTATCTGCCAAAATGCCTCCCCTTAACCTCCCACCATGTTTAAGAGAATGCTTGTTGACATGGGGGACTGGAGGAAGGAATTCAAAAGACCCCCAAGCTCACTGAACTTGATGGGCTATGGAGGAATGTGCCCAAAAGGAAGGCAGAAATTAATCCTGTGGCCTGTAGGGATATCTGCATCCATTAAAGGATGGAAGCCCAGCCGGGATCGGTGGCTCAGCCTGTAATCCCACGCCTTTGGGAGGCTGAGGTGAGTGGATTGCCTGAGCCTGTGGGTTCGAGACCTGCCTGGGTAACTTGACGAGACTTATCTCTACAATAAATCAAAAAAATGAGCTGGGCATGGTAGCGCGTGCCTGTAGTTCCAGTTACTCGTAAGGCTGAGGCAGAAGAATCGCCGAAGTCCAGCAGGTTGAGGCTGCGGTGGCCAGGAGCAGCCACTGTACTCCGGTCTGGGTGAGAGTGAGAAACCAACTCAAAAAAAAAAAAAAAGGATGGAAGCCATCATTAGAGGCCTGGAGTCCTGCCTGACCCTGACAAAACAATCAGGAAGGAGAACCACTTCTGTTCATAGTGTTCTACTCACAGGGAGGTGGGCAGCAGGGCCTACAAGGGAGCTTATTTACTTGCTTCTGCCATCAATACAGTAGCCAGAGAAGTGATAAAAGCAGGTGTCTTCATGTCCCAGTGACTGGGAATGACTTTGGAAAAGGGAAAAACATACACTAAACCAGTGAGCAAAGAACTGAAATAGTAAATGTTCCTCTCTGAGCTCTTGACTATTTTGCCCAATTATAATCCCCATAGTCCATTTAGGAGATATCGCTAAGAACAAAAATTCAATGGTATTTTCAGCATCCCAAAGTCCTTTTCTCCTATTTCAGTATTTTTTTTTTCATTATAGCATAAAATATGAACATTCTTTTTCATTTTTCTTTTACCACACTGGATATCTACTTTTATACATGTATTATACATATACTACTTTTTATACATGTTCTCTCTCTCGATCTCTCTCTTTCCACCTCCTACCCTCCCTCTCTCATGCTCTCTCTCTTGCATGCATGTTCTCTGTGTTGCTCTTTCTCTCTCTCTTGCTATCTCTCTGTTGTTCTCCCTCTTTTTGTCTGTCTCTGTTACTCACACACTCTCTGACCGTGTCTCTCTCTTTCTCTCTTTTCTCTCTTACTCTTCTCACTCCCAGCTGCCTAACTAACTTCTGATAGTAGCCCTGCTGTTTCCTCCCATCCAATTTCTCTGCTTCACATTCTGCCTCTCATTGCCCAGCTCAGGGTACAGTCTCACCAAATAGCATGATGCTGGCATTGGTGTGGCCCAGTTTGTTGGAGGCCACGCAAGTGTAGTTTCCATAGTCGTGCTCAGAGACATTGTAGAAGATGAGTTTTGAGAGGAAAGGTCTGTTTTCCACTTTGACCCCTTTCTTTCCTTCAATCAGCCTGAGATAAACAAGATATAAAAACAAACAAAAGGAATAAAAGATGGTTATATGTCTCTCATAGGAAGAAGTTAGACTCTGGGATTCATGACCTTCTCACTTTACCCCTTCTGACATCACTATAATCACTATTTGATCCACTTAACTACACCATAAGTTCACACACAATGACATGCGTAGTTGTGTTTCTCTATTTTCACGAATGTGCCTAGGGACATTCCTGTCAGGATATCTTATCTCCCTAGCCTCTCATCCTTGCTTTGTAAGCCTGTCAGTCACACCACAACAAATACACTGTGCCAGCGGTGTGACATTCAGAACAATATGATTCATGCAGTAGGTGCTCAAAAGTGTGGACTTGATGATGATGACGATGGTGATAACGAAGATGGTGATGACAACCATGAAAATTAAAAACTCAAGCTTCAAAAAGGAGAGCAACCTGAGGGATTTGAAAGAACAATGTTTTTTAAGCACCTGGGTAATAAAATTTCTCCTTAGCACTAGAAGCGTTCTGCAGATAATACATATTTTTTTGGCTATGAAGAAGAGAAAATAATCATTTTCTCATCAGGGGACTGTGAAGGGCTTGGGAGAAGTGATCTGCTCAGAGTATTATAGAGGATTAGTCTGGTAGGGATTAGAGATTCCTAAGAATATGACCCGATAGAGCTAGGACAATCTCCCTGAGCTCCTCCAATATGGCAGTCCAATAAGCCAAGGGCTCATATAGGTCATAGGATCACTAAAGAAATGCCACAGGTAGTTAGTGAGAGAAGGTTAGATATACTTCTTAAAACCATGGACTCTATTACTGGGCAAACAAAAAGAGTAAGGAGAAAGCTGCTGCAAGGGTCAGTAGGGACAGGTCCCCCATCTTAGGAAGTTGCTAGCAGCAATTGCTATTAAAATTGTGGGTCTACATAGAAATTTGAAACCAGCTCTCTTCCTTTTGGAAACTCTAAAATGTCCTATTTCTTAGAATGAGCTTTAAGCCAACCTTTTACTTTCCCCGAAACAATTTGTATTTTTTGCCCAGAAGCTGATTATATGCCATGGGAAAGATAAATATTATTGGGCAAAAAACATTTCTCAATGAAGTCTCTCAGAGCTAAAAACCTATGTTTCCTGGTTAGGACCTAGCAGGAGCAGGACTTGTCGCAAGTAGGCAATGTCATGATAGAAGCCTATTGGAACAGCCTCGAGGGACATGATTTGGAGTCATCAAACTGAGAAAAACAATATTCAAGGCAGAAAGAAAAAGTGAAGCCCAGCAAGACAATGATGAGAAAATGCTTTGTAGACTATGAAATGTTATTCAGTATAATGTATTTCCACGAAGTTAGACATCGAAAACTCCTGCCTGTCTCTGAGTCACAGTATGTTTTTGGCATAGAAGACAGCTGCTTTGTCACTATCTGAAGACCCTATCTCTGTGGGATTGCAAAATAATTTTTCTACCCTCAAAACTTACAGTAACCTTGATCAGAAAAGAGAGACAAGTTCTGGCAGGAGTTCTCACCCAACATCTATCTTCAGGGAAGTCACAAGATAGGTTGAAGAGACTTGTCCTGCTTTTCATTATGGAGATTTTCCTCTGGGAGCCTCCCTCTTTCAAAAGCTAGGGGCAGTGAACTGGCCTGAGTCCATGACTTCATTAAAATGCTAACACTGTCCAAATGGAACCAGGCATCTGGCTGTGCAGCCAGAGGCCAGTTGTACATTTTCAGCTTGTTATATAGAGACTGATCCTCTAGGGAGTGCTGTCCAAAGATGTTCCATGCCACCCACCCGGAGGCTTCTGTGAGCTAGTCAGGTTTATGGATCCCACTTGCCATTTTAACACCATTCCTCCACTATGGGGAGGGAACCTTTACATCAGAACCAAACTGAATGAGATTTCAGCTTTGTAGTGGGGAGAGACTTACCAGAAGCAGGTTCCTGCTTGACAACTCTGAAATGCTTTCAGCTAAAAACAGTGTGAGGGGCCAGAAGTGCTTTGCAGGGCTCTGCAGCTCCTGGAATGACACGCTATTCCTTTATCCATGTGGTAAAAAATGCCCGCATCCTGCACAGCTACTAGGGTACAGTTTCTTATGAAGCTGTAGGCTTTTCATTGGCTTGTGTCCCTATTGGGTGGGTGGCCCTTCTTAAGTAGAGCATTCCATTTCTGCTTCCTTGTTCGATATACACACAGCAACACCCAGATGAGTGGTACCAGACTTCTGGCTTAAATATTGGGAAAACTGCCTGTCCTTAGTGCATAGATTCCTTTAAACTGCCTCGCTAGTGGGAGGCGGATTAGAGCTGGCCTTCCTTCAGGGCATACACAATATGCCCTCAGAGACCTGACTGGCAAAGGCTGCCTGGCAGATTCGCCTGGCTGATACAAGGACCTCTGGGGCAGAGATGCTGTTGTTGAGCTGAGTGCCAGGAAGAAAGATAGCTCCATTCAATGAGAGGACACGAGAAATACATAAATACATATATGAGCAGCAAATGGGAAACTGACCAAAATACACTGAAAGGGGAAAAAGGAGGAGCCATTAGAAGAACTCACACAAAAGAGGCCTCTAAAAGCCATCCCTGGCCCTGGATCTCACTTTCTGTTCCAGGTAAATTATGGCGGGGAGTGCTGCCCCTCCTCTGACCACAGTTGCTGTGCAAAGAGGAAAGCGGGCTCTTCTGTCCTTTCTCTCAATATTGGCCATGTTTGCTGTTTTCCTCCAAGATCTTGCTTACTCCTATATTTTGTTTCTATTTCTCTCCCGGGAAGAATTAGAATAATAGGATGCAGCTGATTAATTTTTACTAAGATCCAGACAATTGAAGGTTCAGGAAGTGACCCTACAGCTCAATAGTTTATTTTGGTTTTTTAAATAATGGATCTTTATGTCTCAGTTGTCTTCCTTATACAACAAGAAGGGCGGGGGGGACGGTGAGAGAGAAGTACAGCAGGATTTCTAAGGTAATGAGTATTTATTGGATAAACATGACTCCCTTATGGTTGGATTCTGAATTTTTGGAAGAGAGGAAGTCAGCTCTATTTCTTCTCATTTTTTTGTAAGTTTGTTTTTCCTCTTTCTGCCTTAGTTCTTCTATCTGTAAAATGGGCTACATAAATACACTATACCTCACTAGAAGTTGCCAGAATGTGTCTTTGAAACTTAAAAAAAATACACTGCAATACCCCTTCTCATTTGGAAGAATTATAATAAGATATGGTGAATCTTGTGACTTAGTGACAAGGTTCTAAACAAAATTCAATTTTTGATTCAGAGACTAGAAAGAACTTTTAGTGTTTGATCGTATGATGAAAGAAACCAAGGGACATTGACACTGTGACATGCCATGTGAGCAAAGGTGTTCTCATGCCTGGCCTGTGATTTCTCAGCTGCTCTCCCTCTTGGAATTTTCCTCTTGCAGTTTTTGCTTCTCAGCCTCCATCACGCTTTACTCTGACTCCACTGCACAAGTTCCTCTGGCCCTTTCTGCATCCCTATGTCACCACCCCCATTTTTATGAAAATGTTTTGAACTCGAACAGATCTCTCACGTTTACTTATTCACCCACCTTAAGTAACTTTTTGATAACAGTAACAGCCATGTAGCCTAGATATACTGAGTTATGGATCCCTGTGCTGATATCCTTTGATAACTCCCTGAAACGATCATTTCCAGTGACTCACAATAAATATCCCAATGACAGCAGCGACAATGGGAAGGAAAGGAATAGTCCCCTCTCCTTTCTCCTATAGTAAAAGAACAACTTGGACACAAAGGAAGGGCTAAATTGAGTCATGAGCTCTTATACACAGCTCTTGATGGTGTCTGGAACAGAAGTGGAGATCTGCTCAGCACAGCTAACTCATTAGCCACTCCCAGAGCCCATGAGCATTCCTACATCTTAATGTAGGCCCAAGAATGTGTTAAAAATAACCAGACAGAACGCATTGTTTTCTTGGCCCATAAAAAATTCACAGGCCTTACAATGCTCCTGGTGGCCTCTCTTTTGCAATTTTGCTTTCCTAAAAAAATGTTAGCTTTCAGGCCAGCTGTTTGGCAAGTGATAATTCTGCATGGCAACCTTAAAAACCTAGCTAAAATTCATTAATATTTAAAAAGTCTTGTTTGCATATTTCCCTTCTGTACATAGGAGGAATTTAGAAGATAATTTTATAGAAATTCATTTGCAACCATCTGGAATCGGGAACCTGGAAAAGCTTTTGTCTCCTGGGGGTTGGGAGTGGGGAGAGGAAGGGAAGGAGACTTTACCTTTTGTCATCCTTGTACCATTGGAATTCTGCTGAGGGCACTGCTGAGGCTTCACACTGCAGTGTCCCCTTTTGTCCCACGGGGACACCTGTACCCTTAGCTTCTGAAATGTATGGTGGATCTGCAGAGAGAAGATATCCCATAGCATTTTAAAAAGCATTTTAAAATGAGGAAAGCTGCCTCCTTCATTGATTTTGTTTTTCATTCCCTGTCTTAACCTCTGCATACTTGCACTGTCAATTGCTACACAAATTGTGCCAGAGAACAAAAAACTTTTTTTTGAGTTGGAGTTTCACTATGTCACCTAGGCTTGAATGCAGTGGCACACTCATGGCCACCTCAGTGTCGACCTGCTGGACTCCAGAGATCTTTTTGCCTCAGCCTTCCAAGTAGCCGGAACTACAGGCATGCACTACCATGCCCAGCTAATTTTGATTTATTGTAGAGATAAGGTCTTGCCAAGTTGCCCAAGCTGTCCTTGAGCCCACGGGCTCAGGCAATCCACCCACCTCGGCTTTCCAAAATGCTGTGATTAAGGCTGAGCCACTGAGCCAGGCCAACAAAAACATTTTTGACACTTGTCTAAGTCAAAGTTCATTCTTCCTAGGACATATTGTTTCTGTTCTTCTCTGTACAGAGTTGGAAGGACCAGGTATTCAAGCATACTTCCTGGTTAAACTTTTTAACTTTCAAAGGATGATGCCAAACCATTAACCCCACACTCCATGGGTTGACAGTCAGTACCTTTAATCAGCCTTATAGAATTTCGGCACACCAGGTTCTTGCCAAAGTATATAACCTCAAACAATTCAATTCCCATCAAAAGCTCAGTTGCAAGAAATAATATTCATGGAGAATTGCCTGAAGGATTTACAGATCAGTCATTCTTCTTCTTGGTATTCTAAAATGGATCCCTGAATCAAGCCAGACCAAACTAGACCTACATACTTTGTCTGCATTTATTTGAAGTCTTCACCAAACTACCCATGATATTTGAACAATCTGCATTGAGGGGCATTATGAAAAACAGCCACAATAAACCTGCTGTCATATTTAATGCAGAAATATTGTATATGATATTGTTAACTATATCTCGAAGTGCTCTATTTGTGGAGACCCTGAGAAGAATTTTATTTAGGGTCTCAGTACCAGGAAAATCCATATTTCTCCCCAGCAACTATTTTGCTTTTATCTTATGGACAGCATAAATCCTAAAGCAGGTGATACTTTCTCTTTTTGCTTTAGCAAGGCCAAGCCAAATTCTGGTCATGCATCTACCAAGTTTGTGGTACAATGCTTCATGTGCTGATTTTCCCTTAGCTTTCACTCTATTCATAAATATATTTTCCTTTGCTTCCATTTCTTTACTTTTTAGGCTCATCTTTATAAACTGTAAATCATCTGAAGTACTTTTTAAAAAGTGTGATATGATTTTTTAAAATATAGCATTTTTATACCTATTTTGTCACTTCTTAAAGTACTGCATATTGACAAGGTTCACATCATAAAAATACATATAGTAAAGAATGAGTATTCACCTAGATATGATATCCTTCTCCTCCCTCTACCTCACCCAAATATTGCAGGAAAAAATCTTCTTGGTTACTGGTTTAGTTCTTGGATTCTATTTTGTCATAAGACCTCCTGGAATGCACATAGCAGAGAAAACTTTCAGAATGTTGTAGGTGCCTGAATCAATGTGCATAATGAGGAACTGAAAGGGGAAAGGCTGAAAGAGCAGTAGAAACTTTAAGTCTGATCACTGTCAGAGAGAATCTGGATGGCTGAGAAAGGAGAATGAAGAGTTTACAGCAGAGGTCTCCAAACTTTTTGTATTCTTGGCCTCTACTAGTAAAAATCAAATTTGTTGATATACCCTCTAATATCTGTAAGTGTATCTATTTGTACTTAAATTATGTGTGTATACCATGTCCATCAACATCTATAATTGTAAAATGATGAGATACAATAAGCATACTATAAATGGAAGTTCTAAATTTGCATCATACACTCTTCCACATGGGGTTATTTGCCCCATTTCAAGATGTCTGGCCCAGAGAGTGAGAGAATCCAGGACAACTGTATTGTGTGAGTAAATTATGGGAAAAACTGAGATTTGAAGACACATTTTTATACATTCCACATTTAATTCTATTTAATAATCTCCCAGCCATGTAATTCAAGTTTGGTATTATGTCAAGTTATTTTCAGTTACTTTTTCTTTTAGTGTGACACAATGATACCTTGAGGTGTCAAAAACTAGAATTTGGGATTGTTGTTCCTAAAAGCAAAGCATGGAAGATGACGCTGCATTGCTTCTCATCCCTAGTTAGCAATGGATTGTGCTAATGGGCTTTTTGCTATGTCTGTGACAGCAGGTCAGACTCATGTACAGAGGAGGGCAGTAGTAAAACACTTACAGTTCACGGTCACCTTCACTCTTCGCACCACGGGTGCTGCCACATCATTGGAGGCACTGCACTCATAGTCTCCTGACTGCTCCCGGGTGATTCCCTGAATTTCCAAGTATTCATCTTCACTCACAAAGCCAACAGCTGCAGGAGAAGCAGTACAGTATGGTGAAATTGGAGAAAAAAAGACCAGAGACATAAACTTAGAAAATAAAGTATACAAGTGTTGCATCTGCAGAGAATTGTGTCACTTTTAAGTTCAGATTCTGAGGACCTATGCCATTCCTCCCTCTCCCATCTCTTCTACCCCTCCCACCACCAATGTTTCCTTGGCTCCCCAGTAGACCAGCTGAAATATTTGTGTTTCTAACTGAACTAAGCACAGTGCCTAGAGAGTTACTGGCCTTAATAATTAATAATTTTGACATTTACAAAATGGATCTGGCAAGATCTTACCAAGCAATCCTGCTCTGGGATCTGAGTTAGGTACCTTAACTCTTTCTAATATCAAGGTATTATTTAGATTGGGCCTTGAATATAGAGCTGATGACTCTTAACATCCTTAAGAGTGCTTAACATGAATCAGCAACTAGGAAAGCCACACTAGTATTTGTACACACACACACACACACACACACACACACACACACACACACACCACAAAGGCAGTGAAAACACTAAAATAATGAATCTAACTTTCTTTTTTTTGGTTTATACAATTAATTGGATAGGCAGAAATACATTTTCTAAACTTCAGTTTGCTAGAGCTCTTAGGTACAAGATTCCAAAGATAACCCAAAAATGAGACTCAGCACTCAATGCCTAACCAAAAGCATGGTAGAAAGTAAAGTCAGGAGACAATGCTGCAAATCTACTCTGTCACTTAAACATCCTGAGACTCACTTTCTCTTGTGAAAAAATTATGACTGATAATAACAACCTTCTGTCTACCAGACTCAATACCTGATGTCTGGCCATAAGCATTCAGTTATGTAGAGACCAAGACAAGCAAGCCTAGAAGACAGACTTTACAGTGCTCTCCTGGAGACACCTTTGCCTCAGCTTCCTTGTCAAAAGACAACTAAGAACAAAAATGATTGCTTACATCTCGGGGTGATCCCTCATCTGTCCCTCATCTATCATATGAGGATAATCAAGATGTCAATATTCTAAAGTAGGATTTTTTAATAGTAAAAGAGGGCTTTGTTAATAATTCTTATGGAACAGCAAGAATATGTTGACACTGACCCTAACAATTGAGAAACATTTTCTCATACATCATACACTTACAGTCCTAATACCTCATAGAGTTCTTTAGAGCAACATCAACAATAGCAACAACAACAAGTATGTGTGTGTGTGTGTGTGTGTGTGTGTGTGTGTGTGTGTGTGTGTATGCACATGAAAGCACTTTGAAAACTCACATGTGCTATATACCTATTGATTTAGTAATAAATCCTATAATCTGCCAGTAGGCACAGATCGGGGGAGTGAGACTATATTAACATGAGGGTCCAAGAAACAGAACAAAGGAACATTTCTCTCCAGGTCACAAATCACTCTGCAATGCCATATGCCATATGTTTCTGCTAATCCAGAGCATGAAAATAATAATGATAAGAAACCAATATATGAAAGATACTATCACATGTGCATGCATCTGTAGTATGTGAGGTATGGTTGAACTCGCATTTGTTCCATGACAATATTGAGGTCACCATTTTTGTCAAGATAACAACAGAAACAACAGTAGCTGCAAGACAGTGATCTTGTAAAGAAGAGACACTACCTTGCCCACCTCTGCCTGTGATCATTGGGCATGTATGTCTGTGCCACCATCCAGTAATAAGCCTTGCCAGAGCACTTCCTCATACACCTGCTATAAAGTCCAGGATAGGGAGAAGGCAAACCACATTCTAATTGTCTTGGTAGCCTTTATTATGATTGTTTTATAAGCATCTTTGGGGAAAAAAGTACTAATCTTGATTTGAGGAATGGTGAAGGAAAAGAGGTTTATATGAAGAATTTGTGATTCCTCTTATGTTGCTGTTGTTTATTTGCTACCAACCACAGGCCTACATTTGTCAGATCTTTCCCCGCTAGAATGCTATAATTACTGTGCAAAGCATCTCGGAGACCAGTGTCACACTTAATATTCCCATTAATTTTAAATGGTAGTCCTTGGTACATATGTGTGTCAATTGGTGTCATATTTTAATTAGGCTTGCCCTACACCATCTGAAATTAATAATAGCTCGAATTACCAGTGTAATTTATAAATTAACAGTGCCGCAGCATTAGGAAATAAATTAGCTCTGGACAGCTGTTTCTGGATTGAGCTCCAGTGTAGGAGCAGTGACTGGTAGGACCTCAGGTCTCCTGGGAGGCTGTGTATTACACCACTGAAGCAGGGAAACAAAGAGAAACAGGTTCTCTGGGTCTCTTGTTTTCTTCAACTGCGGTACATACATCTGTTATCATCCCACCATGTTTATGCTATTGTTGCAACCACAGTGGGGCTTACAGGAGCCAGTCTTTGATGAGCTCATTATTATGGACATCCAAGTGGAGAAGTGTGTTGGATTTAATCTTAGACTAAATCCAAGTACAGTTAGGGCAATCAAAATCAAGAACTCATCAAGTTTTCTATGGGAGCATCAGTGTGTTAATGAATATATGATTCTGTATGCTCATGTCAGGTGATCTTCTATAGGAAAGGAGGTTAGATGGCTCCAGTTTTAGGGGAAGCATATTTTCTCCACTGATCTAGATTTCTACTACCAGATGGAGGGAATTTACCTCAAGCTATTCCGTGAGAATCAACAAGGCTTAATCTTACTATATATGTTCCCTAAAACAAATGTAGAATTGTAGAGAAACCACAGTGACTCCATTACTCACTAGTTATTACATGTACACTTTCTGATTAAATTGAGAAAGGCATGTGAAAAATAATTTATTTATAGTAAAATGCTTTATAAATTTTAGCTTTCATAGTCATTATTTTCACCTTTCCCCTAACACACCTTTTTCTCTACTAGAGGCAAGACTAGAAGGAAAGAAAATCAGTGTATACAAAACTTTGAACCACCCGAAATGAGGTTTTCATAGGTGCTGCTTTAAACAAATAGCAAAACAAAACAAAGGGCACTATCCTGAAATCAGAATTTCTAGAGTTAATCAATCAGGGACAAGTTTCATTTAATAGTATTTGTGCCATGGCTATGAAGTGATCAATGCTTTATCACTAGTGTGAAGAACTTACAAAGCATATTGAAGGGGGAAAAATCAAGCGAGCATACTTTTCAAAGTGCTAAAGAAAATTCTTGGATAAGAGACACAGTGGGGAAGAGGCAAACCACTTGATAAAGCCCAGTGAAAAGAAACTCTTCATGGTCAATAGCTTCTCATTTATAAGTCTGCTTTTTCTTTCCCTAAAGAAAATGCATCCTTGGGTGGAAATGACACACTCATCTTCCTGAAATATCCCCTTCATCATGGTACACTTCTTCAGACACTAAGAATGGCTCCCTATTTTCTGTCACATCAAACACAAACTCCACTGCCTTATTATCAAAGCCCTCCATAAAGTAGCCTCGATCTACTCACCCAAGTTTATCTTGCATTAGTGATATGAAGAAAGCAACAGATCATCATCTTAAGAAGCAAAAGTTTGGGATCAGAAAAAGCCAGTTCTCTCCTGCCTAGCCTCATGATGTGGTAAGTTACCTAACTCCTCTCTACCACCATTTCTTCATCTGCACAGCTCAGGATAAAATTGCCTCCTTTGAGGGTGGCTATGAAATACAACACATGGAATGCAGTGGGGGCAGTGAAACAGACACATGGTAAGTTCTATACAGGGGTTAGCCACAATAATCACTGTTGCATCTCCACCACCTCTACCACAACGATTAAGCCAGGTGGTGCCCGTTTTTATCCTGGACAAGTATGATGATTCCTTCCTCATAAATTGTTTTTTATCACCTAGAAAGCTGTGTTCCTTTGTCTACCTAAGCAAATACCACCTTTCTTTCAAATTTTAACTTTCCTATCAAAACACCCTACTATGGGTTAAATTATATCTTCCAAAAAAGATATGTTAAGGTCCATTAGCACCTCAGAATGTGACAGGATTTGGAAGTAAGGTCTTTACAGAGGTTATCAAGTTAAAGTATTAGGAAAGGCCCAAATGTAATACCATTGGTGTTCTTGTATAAAAGGACACCAACAAACACACAGAGAGAAATGGTGGGGTGAAGACATACAGGAAGAAGACAACCACATGACTGGAGTGATGAATCTGCAAGCCAAGGAACTCCGAGGATAGCTGGTACCCACTAGAAGCTAGACAAGGCAAGGGAGGATTCTCCCCTTTAGTTGTCAGAAAGAGTATGTGCAAACTAACATCTTGATTTTAGACTTCTATTCCAGAACTGTAAATTTTGTTGTTCTAAGCCACCTAGTGTTTTGTACCTTGTTCCTTGTTACAGCAGCACTGGGACACTAATACCTTGCTCTTATCTCCTAACTCTTGGTGCCTTTGGCTGTCCTGCACTCTTATGCAAGTTCAGTTTATCCAATCCTTAAAATCATTGAAGAAGTAAAGAGCTTAAAGGGACCTTAGAGGTTACATAATTCCATAGTTTCTCTGCTAGGGCAAAGTCTCACTGCAGTGGAATTCACTAGAATAGTTTCTTAAAATACAGAGATGTCTAGGTCTCAACGATAACTCCTAAGTCAGAATTTTCTGGGAGACTCTGGGCTTTTAATAAACTTACCAGGAAATTCTCCGATATAGGCAAATTTCGGAATTAGTGATTTAGCTCAATCTCCATATTTTTCACATGGGAGATGGAAACAGAGGAGTCTGTGGACACACACTTGGTTAGTGATTGAGCACACCAGGTCTCCTGATGTCCCATCCATTGCTCCTGCACCTGTAATAGCATTTCCTAATAGATATTTTGTGTTATAAACCACAGGTCTTATTTTTCTATGTGACTGAAACTCTTTGACAGCTGGAAGCAGGTCTTGGGCATTTCTGACTTTCAAGGCTTCTAGGAAAGTTCATGTAATTTGTAATTTGTCAACTTTTTATTGTTAATGGATTGGCTGACAAATCCAGAACAATAGGTTGAATT